GAATGGACATGTGGGATTCTAGTTTTCTTTTGTATTGTGGCTGAAGGGCCATGTTTGGATCTTTTGTCTTGCTTTTGTGCTGTCTTTATTTTATTTCTAGCATTCTTGATTTCTGGTCCTTAACAGTTATGGGGAACACAAAGGAGTTGACTATCTTTGGTGGAAGTATTGTTTTAGGAATTTAATTTTAGGCTATTTTACTTATTAGTTTAAGAAATTAAATATTATTCCAATTTCTTTATTTTTTGAAGTTCGTATACATCTGGGTCTTATGTATTGGAAGTCTCAGTTTTGGCCATGGAGGTTTCCCCTCTCACGTTTGCTTTCTTTCTTTCGTTTTCTCTTCATCTCCTTCTCTATTCTTCTCTCTTTGTTGACTCATCTATATCTTCTTTCTCTTCTTTTCCTCCTCCCTTTAGTTCTCTCTTGTCCTTCATGGTCTTTAGTTGACACCTCAATGATTTTCAATTTGTGTTGCGATGTTGTAGAAATGAATCTGACTTGAGCAAGTTTATATACTCATTTGTTGGCTTGACATGATTGTTGGACGATTTTAGGAGCCTGTATTTATTAATTCATTATGTGTTTTTTTTTTCTCGCTACTATGCTTTGTATCTCACGAAAATATTGATAAAGGATCTGGTTTTCTTTTTACCACCTGGCGTGGTTGGGCTGCATTTTTGAAGTTCTGCTGGTATTGTATCACTTGGAAGGTTGATACTGACAGAAGAATAATCTGTTTGCAGGGATTGGTACAAGGATTTGATCAAGAAACTGCAGCTGTAGTAATGGCAAGGTTGACTTCTTATAAAATGGAGATTGAGGTACTATTGTCATTCATGAGAGTTCTATTGTTCTTTATCACTAGGATGAACAGTGGAGATAGTGTTCATGGTGGCTATGCTCTACTGCATTTTTCACCTGAAAACTTGAATATACACTGACAAGCAGTTTCCCCCCCCCTAATATCACTGTTCTATCAAGTGCAAATGATTCTTTTTCCTGCTCGGCTAAGTGTTAGCAGTATCTGCTTGATATTCTACATTTTCTTTATTATTTTATTTTTCTTGCTACTATCATTAAGTGTATGGCTGAACTTGAAACCTTCAATGGATTTTGTCTTTGTCAGGAAGGATTTGATGCCACACGGTGGTTGGATCTGAACCTTATTTGTTTCTGTTCCAAATTCGGCGACTACCAGAAGGATGACCTGGCCTCATTTACATTAGATCCTAGTTTTTTGTTATTTCCTTGGTTTATGTTTAACCTGCGGCGATCACAGTTTGTGCAGAGGTAATTATGACTTCTGATTTCGACCCTTGTCTTCTTTTTCAACTTTACGATATGTCTAATTTTTGTGTTATCTCACTGTCACTAGAATTTGTGACTTTCACCCTTTTCCTCTTCTGGTTCAATCTTTCCAGTGTATCTTGTGTGTAATCTCTCTCTGTGTCTCTCTGGCAGGTGTTTGACAATACACAATAATCCAGATGAGACTGCCTATTACCGCATTTTGACCCGTGAGAGTACAATTAACGCAGCTGTCATGGTTCAACCATCACTAATGTCATATTCGTTCTATTCACTGCCTGCACCAGCTTTGCTGGATATGGCATCAATTGCCACTGATCGTATCCTAGTGTTGGATTCATACTTCAGTGTAGTTATTTTCATGGAATGACAATAGCTCAGTGGAGGAACATGGGCTATCAGAACCAGCCAGAACACCAGGTATTTGCACGTTATTTCCATTTTGTTTTGAACTGGACATTTGGTGGTCACATGAAAGGATCGGGTGCACCAACAAAATGACCTATGCCCTTGGGTAGAAGCCCAGCTGCTTGATCTCTTTTTAAACCGTTGCTTTTAAATTGGAAGATTTTTTCCAGTTTTTTAGCATTCATTTATGTTGATGACTGAATTATTATTCCTGGGGAACCCTTGCTGTCTCCAAAAAAGCACATTTTTCTTTGGTTGTGAGTCGATTTTTTCTCTACTTATGCCTATTTTTCCCCCCTCAGGCATTTGCACAGTTATTGCAAGCTCCGCATGACGCTGCTGAACTGATCATCCGTGAGCGGTTCCTTGTCCCAAGATTGGTTGTGTGCGATCAGCATGGCTCCCAGGTCGTCTTTTTTACCATAATCTCAGTCCCATCATGGTTTACTTTGCCATGACATTTGTCTGTATATATGTCGTCATCAGTAGTTTTCTTAAAACTTTGATAGTTGTTGAGTCCTGTAACTAGGGGCAGATAGAAAACAACTGCGGCTTTTGTTGAATTTGTGAATTGTTCTAGGAGTAAGTGTAGACCAAGGATTGTGCCTGCGTACAATGGTGAAAGCTTTTCTGTGGGCATGTTTATTATGAGCCAGCCAAAAATTTAATCCTTTTAGTTCTTTTATTATAAAAGCATAAAATGAAATAATGATGTTAAAATATTTATAGATCACAAATGGAAATACTTTTATTTTTTTAAATTTGTAGTATATCAGAATATTGATACAAAGATCAGATTACTATTTGATATTTGACTGAGATAAAATGGTTTTAACTAAAGGTTATAATTGTTTCAATCAAGAAAGTTGGTTTAGTTTGAAACAAATAAGAAAAGCAATAATATTTTTGGTTAGCCACAAATTTGAATGAAATTTGCCGTATGCCTCATGTTTATAGAAGATCCCAAACTTCTTTCGAGCCTTGATTAGTCATTTTAACACCTTCCCTTGAGACATGCTCTGAAGCTTTCTGAAAGCGTGATATTACCTATAATATTCCATTATACTTGTGGGCCACTGCTATAGATAACCATCAAAGAATGTAGGGGGGTAATACATAAACAATATTCGGAAATCTGTTTGACTTGCTGGTGCAATAATAGGTTTGTTGTCCAATAACCGCTGTACAGCTGGAATGGTCCTTGTGGACAAGAGATGTGGAGGAAGAAATAATTCCAACTTGCAGGTGAGGATTATATTGTGCACTTGTGCAAACTAATCTGTTTAGGGAGTAATAGCATCTGAATTTCTCATCTCATTCCTCTTATAATTCATCAGAGAACTTGGCATTGGGATTGTTGACGTTGAGAAGTTGCCGGACTCTGACTCCCGAAAGGTTTGTACTGATAACACAATCTTTTTGAGTTTTGACTACGAAGTTACGGCTTGCATGGTGTATTCCCTACCATAATAGCTTAATTCCATCACCATGTTTTTGGTTTGTCTTCAATTTTGTCTTACAAAGTAATCAACCTTATGAGGCTCTACGAGCTTTCCTTGTCCCAACTTTACATTCACTTGGTAGTCAATATTCCATAAACAACATAGGTATAGTCCTTTGGTGCTTGTTTGCCCCACAAGTGCACCAAGTAAGCCCCATTTTACCATATAAAAGCACTCTCCAAGCCTGTTTTGGAATAGGATTGGTTCTAATTAATTATTGTAACCAAAGTCTGAAAATGATCATTCATTTAATTTGAATAGCTCTACAATATAAAACCATCAACAGGATTCTGCAACAAAACTTTTTAGCAGCATTCTTCTGGAGTTCCTGTGTATTATGTCTGCTATGACCAGAACCCCTTAGTATTTGATGGTCCATGCTCATAACAGATATTCATAATATTCAGGCCAGTCATATCTGACTTGGTACCTCCCATTCTGAGATCGATACACTTTCCATGCAATCTACAAGTCTCACATGTTTCATGTTTAACCTGGAGACGTCTCAGACGACTCGGCAGAGTTGTTTGAGTCATTGTTTTACAATGCTTTGATATGACTTGAATCGCTTGTAATGTGTAGCTTCTTTTTCTTTCTAGCATTTGATGCATATCACAAGCTACAAGCTACCTACCATTTGGCAATGCTGCAGGGATGCATCTTAGTACTTTCTGAGCAAATAGCTGCTACTGTAACAAAGCTCATAGAGGTCATTGGAGCTTTGATACACAACAGTAAACCCAAATGCCCCATAAGTTATTTTCCCTTGTCTTGCCTCTCGTTTACTCGGGCAACTATTAAAGCCACCATGCACAGAGAGACAGGTTTCTTGATGGACCAAAACCCAAATTAGAACAACAGTCTTTATTTAAATTATGTGTAAATGTTCTCCTGGACACTTATTGATACGTGTTACTGTGTTAGAGTTCATGAAATTTGATAGTTTGGAACTACGGTCTATATTCTGCAATAATTCCCCTCTTTCCCTACAGCCCGACTCAGACTCTTGGTACTTCTAACTCTTTTCTAGTTTATCTATATTTATCCAAAAATCAATTAAGTATATCATTCGCTTGGCATAGGTCATAGGTTGCTTGGTCCCTGGCTACCCTGGCATTAGGAAAAGGTTAAGACCAATTGAACCAATCACAATCACTTAAATGTGGTGTACTCACTGCAAGAAGATTGATTCGTCTGTTCTAACTTTTAACAATCTAAAGCAGTCTAATGTAGATTTGATTGAGTCTCCTTTCCATGGAGTAAGGTGGTTTACCCTTATATTACCCATCTTATGATCCATATTTACTGTGATGACACATGCTGGCATCTGAATCATAACGATGGTTTCCTTGGTTATGCAACATCTATTTGCTCCTCCAAACTCCCCTCTGGCCGATTCTGATTTTTTTTTTTTTTGGTCTCTTGTAGATTCTACCAAAATTCCAATCTGAGAATCTCTAGCAGAATAAAAACGGTTTGAGCGGATCAATGAAATGGCTGTAAGGAAGGGACGCACCCCATCACACCTAGCATTGGTTCGATTCCATCATCAAGGGAATGACGTGTCTCCCGATACCTGGTACCACTAAGATTGAAAACTTCAACCAGAAAATACATTGGAGCTTTATCTGTGAAGCTAACACCTGAAGAAATGGCTGAGCTTGAATCCATTGCTGAAGCAATCAAGGGTGATAATATTTCCACTCACATTTCCTACTTGGAAGACTGCAAACACTCCACCCTTCTTCATGGAAGGCTGAATAGTGACATTACAATTTCTTTTGCCATGTGCAAATACCAAAGCAAAATTAGTAAATTCAGGTTCAACTTGAATTTAATCCCAATTTTTCAGGCCGAGTTGTGTAACCCAAGTTTTAAATCCGAATTGAACTTTACTATCTAATTCCAGTTATCCAACTCGAAAAATCAAACACAAATTGAACCTGAATTTCAAATCCACCTAACCTACCTAGAAGAATGTTCCACTTATCATTCATTTCCTTTGGAGGCTAAGCATGCCTTGAACCTAAATCCACCCATACTTTTCAAATAACAATTTTATATGAGGGTAAATTTACTTTAATCCTTCAACTATAAATCATATTTCACATTGTCTCCTCAATTAGCATGTCTCCGAAATTGCACATCCAATCATGACCATTAGTTCTAAATTGTGCCAATGAGAAATATTCATTACAAATTAGATGAAAAATTGTATTACTCTTTACCTGGAATTGACCAAGGGATTTCATTTTACTTTGTCAAAAGATTTAAGGCATGTGATGATTTTTTGTCCAACTTAAAAAAAGTTTAGTTGCAAGGCAATATCAGACCAGTTAAAGTAGCTTAAGGAGGGATGTGGTACTTGAGTGAAAATAGTGATATGGGAATCATAATTAATGAGGGATAAAGTGTAATTCCTAATTTGCTTATTTAATCATTTATAACTATATTGGATTTGATTATGAGTATCAGGATTTGTCAAGATCCATAATTAATTCAATAATTGTGATGAATTAAATTAGTAAATTATATTAATAAATTAAGTTTAAATAACATAACTATAAAATGTTGAAAGTTTAAAAACCGAAAAAGGCAACTTTTTTCAGAAAAAATGGTTTTCTCATTACTATTCCTATGACAAGAAGCAAATATGCTTTTTCTCATCTAATAAGCGACACATATTATCTGGAATTAAAAGCTTTCTATTACTACCATGGAGTGGGGTGGTTCAATGGGGGTAATGATTAAATTTTTCACTATGTGGTCGGAGGTTTCAGCCTTAAAGTCTATATTAGATTTTAATGGTTGACCGTTATACTAAATTAACCAGGTTCGTTTCTGATAGGTATAACAAACGTGATTAGGGCATCATAATCTCACAAGTGAGAGCCTATCAGGATAGTCTTTGGACGCTCTCCTTTACCCCCATATCTTTTTCTAATACCCCCAAAAAAAAAAAAAAAAAAAAACTTTCGATTACCTTATATGACCCGAACTACATTTGCAGTTCACCCTCGAGGAAACAACTCTTATTTACGGATTCAAAAACCTTCTCTATTGCCTTATATAGATAGAGATTCACTAATAATGATGGGTCTGGCCAGATTAGACCCAATTCTCAAATCTAATTTAGAAATATAGATCGGACTCAGGTCATAGGTGTAGTCAAGCCCATATAAAAAATATAAGTCAATAAAGATCAAGTCCATCGTCTTAGAAAACCCAATCTACTAATGATGCACGTAAAATCTCCATCTTAGGAAAGGAATTAGAGTATGCATCGTAAGCTTCAACTACTTCGTCCGTTACGCCAATATCACAGAGTCACTCATTGTCGTTACAAGAGCGACGCTTTAACCAGGGTTCTTGCAATGGTGCCTACATCAAAGCTCGCTATGAGGCACCATGAAAACTGTACTCCACTATAAATTATAAGCCCTACCTACATATGAGGGCATCACATACATCTCAGTATACTAGACTATTGAGTAATAAAATTATCCGATCACCATAGCCTTGAACAATAGAGTAAGTCACTCAGAACGAATCCACTCAATCCTTGTGTTTATTTGTGTTGAGTCCTTACTTCATTCATTGATTGATTTTGCATAAACATTTTTGTGCATTATTAAATAATATAAGATGGATATTATTACGGTTGATGTACACTTAGGAAAATGAATAGAAATTGCATCAACATGAATCCAACATCCGGTGTTAAGGCTTTCTCAATGTGGCCTTTCTAGGTACTAATTCTTATTTTGATGCTTTGCTAAAGCAATGGATAATTGTACATGTCTCAACTTTGTCTCTCAACCAAAGTTATGGGTTTCACATTATATCAAATGCAGACGTCGATTACAAATTGGATAAAAAGTTAATGTCACTTGGCATCGAACACTTACATAATTGTTTGAGGATAGACTCTAATCACATGTACATTTTGCTTATGTAGGATGTAACACGTCTTAAAATGTATATATAATATTACTTTTCGACACATTTTTATTGAAAGAGCAATTATTATTAAAGTTTGTGTTTCATCTCAATTTAATCCCTGTTTCTTTGTGTACACGAAGTTTCCGATTTCACTCAAATAATAATAATAAAAAAAGAAGCTGGTTTAAAATTCCTAAATACGGTTGTTGTGAGAAAGAACAAATTTCCTACCAAGTTTGATAAAAGTAGGGGAGTATTGGTGGGGGTTACACATAGAGAATTAATACAACTAATTGTCATTAATAATATCTGCTAAGTTGTTGAAGTCAATTACTTTCTTTTGTCTGATGCTACCTACATAATAAGTAAAAGTAACAAGCTTTTAATTCAATTGACACTCTCCTCTTTAATTTGGGCTTATATAAAGTCTTCCTCAACTCGAGTAGTTTCTTACTTAAGAATTACAAGAACAGAAGAGATGGTTCTTCAACAATTTCTCTTTCTTCTTCTCATTATCACTGCCACTACCGCAACTACCCTTGCTCCCACTGGTAAATCATCTCTCTGAAATTTTTGTGTCCATTCTGTGGTTCAAACAAAGGGTGAGAGGTAAATTTGTACGCCCTAACTTCAGCTCTCCCTGGCTGTATAAAATTCAAGTTTAGTCGATACATGTGATTGGGAGATAATTACCTGCATGCATCCTAGTTTTGTTTACAACTATGAGTTTAAAAAGAAGAACGCGTGATTAGAATGATTTTCGATTGCGAAAATAAACACCTCTTTTTTGCTTTCTTTAATTTACATTGACTTAATTTTGTGTCTTGGCAGATGGGGCGAGCCAAGTTTGCATAAAGAGGTGTTTGGAGGTGCTTGCTCCAGCTTGCAATGTTCTATGCAAAGTCATTGGCTTTATCCAAGGGAATTGTATTGGTGATGGATTCGACAAATATTGTTGTTGTTCCAAATGATATGATGGTCACTATAAGCAAAAAGTTCCAAGTAAATTAATGTAATAAGGTTATGTATCCCTCAACAAGCTTTTTGCTTCTTTGAAATAATAATTTACTAGCTTATTCCAATATAAATAATGAGTTTTCCTTCCTTCTTTTAGCCAAAAAATAAAAAAATAATAAAATGTGAAGAAGGAAGATGACCATCCTTAAACCATGGTCATGATCGCGCTTCACCTTGTCTATCAATCATTTCAAAATTTACCCCTAAACTGTATGATTTGTTATGTATTTTCCCAAAATCAAACATACGGTTATGTTTCAAACGAGAAATGTCCACCTATCATAAGACTTTGGGGCCAAGTAATATAAAATCACATAGTCTTGGGACAAAGTGACAACTTTCCCTACGAGTCATAGTAGACATGTAAAATTAATGATCATAGTCTAAAGTACAATGTCATAAATATGACAGTTTGGATAATCTATGATTATTATAGACATTCTATGTGTGGACACCAAACCTCACTTCTCCCTTATTAATAGTATATATATTTACTCAGTTGCATATTTATCCAACAGATCATATGATTATTTTCATGACTCCATGTTCACTTCCAATATATATTACACACCAGACATGAATTTCAGTAACATTTGTAAAGTGAGATTTAAAATACGGAAATTTGGCGACATGTATAAAGTTGTAAACTTTTAAGGTGAAAGGTTTATCTTGGACACTTTTAAGGCAAGAGTTCTATAAAATCAATCCTTAACAAAAATATCTTTAATGAATCACTACCATCGGCATCCCATCACTGCCATAGGGGTGTTCACCCTGCCATCGTCATTCCATCATTCTACCGGATAAAGTATATTATTCCTACCCGATTTTTTTTTTTCAAAACAATCGGGATAGGAATTCATGTGAATACGTATTTTTTAGTTATTAATTTTTAAATTATTTTAATAATTTAATTAAGTAATATATATCAACTAACTAATACAATAAACCAATAACACTAAAGAAAATATAATAAATTTGGTAATACATAAACAATTACGATAAAACAAAACAAGAAAGCCATAAATATCAATTCATCGTACATAATAAAACTATAAACATCAATAAAATACTAGGGTTTCTAGATTTTTAAATTTTAACTTTTAGGGATTAATATATATGTGCAGACAAGGTAGGATAAAAATACGAAAATTTTGTTGGTATTCTGCATTCCTATCCGATTTTTTATGGAATACTAAAACATCTTCTGTTGGCTTACCCGATTCTTTTGGATAGCCGATCAATAGAGTCAGGTAAGATCAAAATTTACGGGTAATCGAAAATTTGAACACCCTTAACTGCCAACACCATTTGCCAGGTGGTGAGCTCACAAATGTGCACATCATCGATCCTGCAATTCCAGATGCAGGAAAACACAGAATCATGGGGTGGGTTTGGTTTGCATATCAAAAAATTATATTTGAAAATAGTTTTTGAAAAGAATTTTAAGAAAGTGTTTTTAAAAATTTTTAGATTGCTTATATATTTTTTAAAATAGTTTT